GATAGTTCTCCAAAAGTCTATACCATTTTCCTAACTGTCAAACACTGTGCTCATTTACTAGTAGCTTACACTGATCGTTGTGAAGTCCAGAGAGTAAAAAAGTGCACATCACAGTCGTATTTACAAGAATCACATGATACAAGAGCGAGGCTACTTATCCGAAACGAATACCCTCGCGTCGAAAAGCAAGAAGTAAGCGCAACATATCATCCTCGTCCATTGTTCGTGCTCTCTTTTTATCAAATTCGGAAGAATGTAAAATGGACTGTATTTTTTCTTCCATTGCATTGACCCCGCTCGAATCATTCTCTATGTTCGTTGGACTGGGTGTTTGATTTTGGGCACGACAATGATCCAGGTAATATTTGCGCAAAAGACTGGCCACTGATTTACCGGAGAAATTTGCGGCCACGGTTTTGTTTTTACGGGCAAACAAGAGTCGTAACAGTCCATCCCATTCGGAGTATGTGACTGGAGGGAGAGGATGTCGTGGTTCTATACGGACGACCGCTGAATCCACTTTGGGTGGAGGCCGGAAACTGTTCTTGCTTATCTGGAATAGGAGATGGGACCATTATCGAAGACTGAAACGGACAAGGATCTGTATGATAGTCACGCATAGAAATAAGTGTCCGAGAATTATTTCAATCAAATTCAGAACAAGTGAATGACACTACTCACTTTCATTAGTAAAGCAACTTTGCAATGAAACTGGACAGCAGCGGATAGACGACAGTAAACTTTGTCACCAGGCTGAGCAACCAAGCGGTCAGCAAATTCCTTCTGAACCATCACGACTGCGGCGCGATATCCTTTGCCCAGTTGGATCAATCGTTGGATGAATGGTGAAGAAATCTGATAAGGTAGGTTGGCCACACAGAGATCAAATTTGGGCCAATTTGAGGCTTTGATGGCGTCACCCACAAGAATTTCCAGTTTTGAACGATTAGAACTGTGGCAAATGAATTGGAAAGAAACACACAACAGACAAGAAAACACTTGAAAAGGAAACGTGGAAACAAGAGGACAATAACAAATAAAATAATGAAACCGAGTCATTGCCTGGTGTTTTTATGATGATCTCTGAATTCATGGGGTTTCCACTAGGCTAAGTTATTAGCGGCCGTGATATAAGCAGAACAATTGCTTGTAAAATATTGTTTTTCCCACACTACCCGACTATTCACGTGCGAGTTAGGCGCCTTTTGATTTTCATTAGACTCTAGTGGAAAACGATTGAGAAACATGCGAATGGTAGAGGATAGGGACAAACTGAGGGATGATAAAGAATAACCACACGCATACAGTGAACTGGGTAGCACAAATATGACTTCACACTTGGCTGAGTCCCAACTATGTGCCAAACAAATTACGGTACTATAACCCTTACAAAAAAATAAACGGGCCGCTGATTTCCTCGTGGCCATCCAGACCAATGCAGATGAATTGTCTCAGGGATTTGCATACAGCCTTTGGCTAGTCGAAGTCTAATCAGCAAGGGATCAAAGCGAGAATAAAATCGCCTAGAGATGAGTAGATCTGTGTAATCGTACTACGCGAACAATAAACTTTGTATTTTTAAAGTATCACAAGTATAGTACAATGAACATGCTTGTGACTCGAATTGGAAGGAACAACAGATTCAGGTAGGTAGGAGTTAGATCCTGTAGCTTCCAGTACACCTCGAACGCAAGTAAACAGAGTACAGTATACGACGCTATTGCACTTCCCAGATGCCCAGACTGAGACCAGGCCGGAATGAAACACTATCATGCTGCGCGACGCGTTCAGAATCCTCCACAACACAATCAACATCAAGGTTCTGAAATACGCCGAGGCACTAGCCATTCAAAATTATCATCCCAAACTGTGTAAACAGCGTGAATGGCTTTACACTCGGCGCTACCTTGGTAACAAATGTGTTTGGTGAGTAATTTTGACCGCAATGTTTCTCCGCCTATGATTCTGTTATTTACTAACCATATATTATTGATCACATAGACTGCAGTATGCACGTGTACATATGTAACGAGATGATCCAGGATACACTGTGCAAACCTGCTTTTGGTTTCTTTATTCAAATTCGTTACGGGAAAACTATGCTTCCAAATGTAATTTTATCAAGAGTACTTCTTTATTACACAACTTGGTACGATGAATAGCAGACGAGGAAAACNGAAAACCCTATGGTCACGAGGACCTGCTGTTCAGTGATGGAAGCCGATAACCCGGAATTTGGAGTGGCGAACTTGCTGGGTTAGGTGAGGTATTGAACCGGACAACAACAACGCTGTCTACCACCGGAGTCGGGTGGCGGTGACGGAGTTCGAACCTCGGACCAAAGCACGCCGGTAATAGCGACTAAACCACGGCGCCACCACCCCCTAGGTATTCTAGTGGAGTGACACTGACCAGTACAGAGGGGTGGGCAGGTGTTACATATGTTAACAAATAGGTTGTTACGATGTGCGATGTTTGCCGAGGTTGGTAGTGGGTGGAAAAAAGCTTTTCTGTCTTTCTCCTACTCCTTCATCCAAACGGGGAGTCCAAAGATGGCAACTAAAAGCGACGCAAGGCAATGCATGGTTAGCCGTTGTGCAAACTGAAAACCAGAAGGGATCTATTTGTCAATAACATGGTGTTTATAGCAGGTTTTTGAAAAATACTCATCTTACACCGAACCACTTGGTAAATTGTTTTTTTTCGAAACACTGCACCTCGTTCGGTTTCCGTAAAAAGAAAGACGATTACCGTCTTTGATCGCATTCGTAAGAATGACGTCTGCGACACAATCACAATCTTCACAGATACTGTTTCAGCTATCATAGGAACCCTCTTGAGTAAGTCTTTGGTTTGATTTGTAGGTGTTGCTAGGATAAAACTCAAGGTAGTCACTGGATTTATCCCATGTCCCCTGATGTTACACGTGGTGGTTTTCACAGCATGATAATGAAGTGAGACTAGGAAATGTTTCAGTATTTACTTGGACAATCCCCGTATTCAATATAATCAAGCTGAAAGCAGAGCTGTATGCAAATGAGCGCTTCCCCAGGTTGCAGATAGAAGATCGACCATTAATATGGTGGTTAAAATCGTGAATAAGGTGGGCCGCAAACGACCAGTGGAAGTGTTTGAGGATGCGGTGAGAGTTAGCATAAAACACCGCACATATCTATAAACCGAACGACATGGTGGGGATCGCGAGTCACCACTAAATAAGGTTAGTTCCCCCTGACGTGCTTCGTCTAGCCGATATGGTTCTATGGAAGAGAAATGGATTATACAATGGGTCATCGGCAGGTTTGAAATAACTTTGCTGTCCCGTAGTTTGCATGCGGATGCGAGAAGGCTAGACGTGCAACCGAGAGCATGAAAGCTGGGCGACATGGATGATAGTGGCGCAATGGTTTAGTCGCTTTTACCGGTTCGATATTCGAGCCCCGCCACCACTACCCAACTTTGGTGATAGACAGCTTTGCTGTCACCTGAGTTAGCGGGGCCTTATATGGTTCGCCACTCCAAGTCCTAGGACTAAGGTTGCTGATTACCATCACTCAACACTAGGTCTTTATGACTATGGGGTTCTACCCCGTCTGCGGTCCATCACACAGCGGTGCAAAGAAATCCTGGGCTGAGACCCCGAAAGGAGCTGGGGACACCATACTGGATCATATTTCCATGACTCATAGCAATGAACCAACTTATCCTCCATCAGGACATAGTCGAGTAAAGGAATATAGCAGTGAATGGCAAATGAATGACAACAAAAGAATGAGAAGACGCGCTAGCCTGTTTTTGGTCTGCTATTAAATTAGTATAAAGCAACATTTTCTTGTTAGTTTTGTCAGTTGTTTTAAACTTAATGAATTTTGTATCTTTAGAATGAAATCATCATGAAATTCTTCTTCTTCTTAGTTCTTCGTAGCTCCAAACAATGTGACCATCACAGTTTCATTTAAAGAGTACACAATACACGAAATTTCAGAAGGGCTGGAAGGTATATTTAAAAAACCGTTTCCGGATAAGTAATGTTGGGATCATACTCAACACGACACCGCTGTGTTGAACAGGCTTTTGTATTTCACAGCGCGCTATCATAGGGAAACTATGAAATATATTGATAAAACCTCTCATGTAACACTTGGCCAACTGCGTAAATATGACTGTTCCGTACACAGCGTTCTTGTAGTCATTTCTTATCAGGCCAGAATGATTGAAAGGGTATGTGTGCACAGTTCGATCGTGCACCCTGTGTGTGGACCACAGAAGTTCACCTTCTTCCCTCTCCCTCAAAATAGGTTCAATCCTTGTCCACCTCACCTACATATTAGCATTAATTTTGTATGCGCTGCGAGCTTGGCAGCGATCAGTGTTTCGCTGTGCTATAATGACGATGATGAGACAGTGTGCAAGACTGCCCAACTCCAACGATTTACACTGTTCACATAAACCCGGTGAATATCTAGTTTAGGGTACTACCCTTTTGTCGTTTTTTAACGAATTCTGTGATTGGCAGGATGCGTGCATGAAAGAGGTTGAAACAAATAAGCCATTGGTGGAGTATATTGTATTTTATTGGTTCTAATGAATGCTGTGGGCTCACTCGGTTGACCAGATAAGAAATAATACATGTCAAACCAAATAAACACTGCAATGTGGTTATATCAACCGAAGAATGACGCGAAACGCGAATGGTAAATTGGACGTTCAAACAAGGATGTCTCACAGGACGAGAAACGCGAGCGTGCCAAACGAAAACAGTCATGTTTGCAGTTGACTGAACAAGACAAATGAGTGAGTGTGAACTTACGTGGACTGGACACGCTTCTGTAGTTCACCGATCATTCTTGGATCGATCTCAAAGGCGAACACTTTTTTCGCTTTCTCCAACAGTTTCACCGTCAAATTTCCTGTGCCAGCACCGATTTCCAAAACACTATCCGTGTTTTTCACTCCGGCTTTTTCGATCATTGTGTTGATTATGAGTGGATTTTTCAGGATATGTTGGCCCTTATCCTTTGAAAACCGAATACCACCCGTTTTCAGAATCTGCTCATCCTTTTTATGGGACTTTATTTTAGCCTTGACCATACTCGTAGAAAGTAAACTGAAAAGAACAAAGCATAACTGATCATCAGCATTAGAATTATTTTTTAAAAATTACAGTGATCATTGCATGTCACACTGCGGCCATACTTGACCATCCCGTTCAAAGGAGACAAAAATGACAGACGTCTCCAGCGACGAATAAAACAAATAACCCACAGCACATTTCATGCAGCCTCACTAATCATTCTGCACAAAACCAAGCGTCTGCTCGTGGAATCAAATTTGGAAAAGCCTGATCCTCAAGTTACCTCCTCTTGCATTTATCTATTCGAGTGTGCTTGCGGTAGCAAGTACGTTGGACGAACTGAAAGAAAGCTGTCCGTAAGGACTTCCGAACACATCCCAAAGAATCTAGCGCTGAAAGGAAATAAAGTTTTTAAAAGCTCTATTGCTCGCCACTTATTAGACTGCAACTTGTGTGTGGAGCCTAGCAAGTCCTTTAGGATCATAAGTAGACAACACCATTGTCTACTTCAGTTTGCTGAAGCCTCCACCATTCGACGGCTTAAACCCAATTTGTGTAAACAATTAGACTTCGTGACCAGTCTTGCCCTGCCATGGTAGAACTGAACCCCGTCATGTGTTCACTCGCCGTGGTTGACTTTGTGACCTTTGCTCCTGTCCTGTGATTGGCCCAATTGGTGTTCATTTGTCCCATAACCATTGTTATTGTTTAGCCTTGATTGTCATTGTACGTACGCAGCTAATTGAGAGTACCCAAAAATAACTGAATTCATGTTATCTTGCTGAAATGTGGTTCTTCCTCGCCGTGATGAAAAAAGTACATTTATTGGGATGGTAGGGAACGAACCCTTGTGTGGTACACGAGTGACTCGATTCAATCATCTTAATTTATTTTTTTATTATACTTATGCATACATACTACCACACACTCATACCTATTATTAGGTTGTACTCCAATGTTTGCATACAGCGTACCGGAACGTGAGTACATACAATCATACACTCACCCATACCATCGCGTGCATAGAAGCACATGCGCCTATGCATACTTTAGTTTATGTTGGTAAACATCCATACTGTCCCAGTGGAAAAACTAGAGAAGTGAGTGTCTCCACTACGCGGTATACGTACCAGTTGAACTAGAGGGCACGCTGCTATCCGTTGACAGCTGTCGGAAGTTTGTGCTAAATGGGAACAGATGATAATCTGCGCTGAACTGAAGAGGTCGATCACCGTTATCTGTTCGATGGCAGGGCAGGGCACAACCGCCTAAACAAGCTTCTGATGCGCTCAGTTATCCAACTTGCGCGTTAAAATTATCTGATGGTCGGTACACACGTTGAGGTGACGAAAAAAAATTTTTTGACATTGCTTCTCTTCGGGATGCTGATAGACCCTTGGAGCCACATCGCACGCAAGCGACTGTAGACGGGAATCCGAATGAGTAGTGAAGCTTCGGTTGTATTACTGAGTGCAATGCTCACGCCAAGCTGGTCTACCGAACGGGCTTCATCACCTGACGTGAGGAGGAAAAACCTCGACGACAACTCCGGTGCATTAAAGGGCTAATGGTTTTAGTATCCTGGATTCGAGTCTCCGATACGCAGCAGACATCGATCCCCAAAGAGTCCACTATACGCATCAAATACGCTTGTTGATCCACCTGCATCAGAGTCCCCATGTTGAAGGTGATCAGTTTCACTGGTTGACGAGGCTTCAGAAACTGAAATTTGTTTTCTGGTAAACTATTGACCGCGCTACTTGGCGACCAACTTCGGCGAGTAACGAACAAATTATCTGAGGGAAGATCATACGTCCGAAGAAGCGGAAAATGGAGAGGGGTCGGGTACGGAAGACAAAGAGTTAAACAAAGGTTGGGATGTCTGAGCAGTAGCCCACGTTTTACTACCCACCCCCTC